CTACCACTGCATAGAGTGTGATACGATATTTATCCACTCAAACCAGTTAAATTATTAAATTTTTAGCGCGAAGCTCGCTCAGCGTTTTAAATATTTAAGATTAAACAGTCGCGAGTGGATTAATATCGTATTGCACGAGATTTTGTGGTGGAATTTGTTTTTTTCTAATGCTTTTTATACGAAACACAGACTATTGTAATCGTTCGTTTCGAACGACCTACAAAAAGATGTGTTCCTCCTACGTGACGCCTTTTTCAGGACATCATATTAGGTATTTTAGAGGAAAGCAAGAACAAGTGACGTCATAATCGAATTTTGACCAATAAAGAACTGAGATCAAATGATCTACACGCTTATAAAATAAAAAAATAATCAACAGGTCAGAAAAAGTATTAATAGAGCAAGAATTAAAGAAAAACAAATGTAACATATACTAGTATGTCTGTCTTTTAATTAATGCACTTATGTTATCTATTAAATTACTGTAGTTGTACTTCATTGGTAAGTTATGTTAAAGTACATGATATTCTTACTTCTCATCTGAAGAATATAAGTTAACGGAGAAATAAAACGAAAAAGATTTCACTTATTTCCGTTGCTGATGTATGAAATGAAATATCCAAATTTACTGAATTTCTGTAAATAGATGACATTAAAATTATTTGAAAATATTTATATATTTCGTGTCTATAGACATAACTGCGGGTCATGATCAAATTTTAACAAAAAACCGAAGAGAATAATACTTAATGACGTGACAATTTTACATGTATCATAAAATTAATCATCTTAATTTTTAGGGACATTTGTGATACTATAATTGTATGCATCAAAAGTCCTTCTAATAAATAGCCTTATTATATTTCGTATCTAGTAAGTACAGCTGAATTATACAGTATCTTAAAGCAGTTTTCATCAAATGATCTTAATATATAGTTTAAACTAACCATACAGGTTTGCATGCTTTAGAAATTAATTAAAGTTAAAAAATATCAGATAATCCGTTTTTCTTGAAATTTCCACAATAATTTGACTCTACAACTCATTCATCTAAATCTCGCGGCCACCAACTTATATTTTACTTTATAAACAAAAGTACGAGTCCTGTGTGTCCGTTGTACCGATGTGTATCACATGTTTATTGATATATATGATATCCAAATTGCAACCCATTGGTAGCCGAGATGTTTTGTCGATGTGTTTCTGTGAGTCATAACAGATCAAGACGTCAAGGGAAGAAAAAAAGGGGGGATGTCTTTTACAATGAAGGCTTGTTAACATAACGAAAGTCAAAGGAAAGTTTTAAAATTAATTCCATTAGTGAACAGAAATCAGTAAATGATCTAATTCAAACTTATTGATGTTAAAAAAAACCCAATTGCTTGGAATTTGGTGAGTATATTCTGGGCATTAATAATAAAGATATCTATAAGATAGTGCAAAGTCGAATAAAAACAGAAACACCTATTGGATTTTTAAAATGGGAAAGGGTATTACATACAGGAAATATAAATAGTGAACTCAAAGACACTATAAAATTCACTTTTGAATATCTAAAAGATAATAAAATTAAGATGTTCAGGTGGAAATTAATGCACTTTATCTTGCCAAATAAAGAGCTGTTATTTCAATGGAAAATTTCTGAAAGCAGCCTTTGATCATATTGTAATGAACAAGATAACTACAATCATTTTTTCATCACATGCTCATATAACACAACCTTCTGGAAATCAATGAGATATATATTTAACAAACTAGGTATTGACAAACATGTAATAAGCCTACACTCTCTAGTAATAGAATACAAGATTCATGATGATGCTTATTTTGGACTTAATCATTTGCTGAGTTTAATGTTATTCTCAGTCTATAAGTCACATTATAAATCCAATAATAAGGCAAAAAAAATAGACATATTGAGAATTTTTAAATATGAAATCAATAGTACAGTTGAATTATATTGTACGGCCAATATAGAAATAAACAGAATGTTAAAAAAGGTGTTACAGATCTTAAAATAAATAAAATTAACTTTTGGAAAAAACAGTTTCTTGAAAAGCAGATTGCATGTATTAATATGTTAATATTGTGTATTTGTTTTCAATGTTTCAAGTGTATCAGTAAGCATATATGCTACTATAATGTATGTATATGTGTTTATGTATGCAAATGCATGTATACATGTATGTGAATGCATGTATCTGTAAATGTCTTTATATGTGTGTACATGTAAGTATGTAACTATATGTATGAATGTATGCATATGTATGTGTGTATGCATGCATGTAGGTAGGTAAGTTATGTATGTATGTAAGTGAAGCATAAAATTAGATTGGCAAGAAAAGGGGGGGGGGGGGGGGGGGGGGTAAGTGTATTGTAGAAAAAAAGAAATATTTTTATATAATGTACATCATGTATCCTTACAAGTGTAAACTTAAATATTATCCTTAGAATATAAGTTCCCAAGTAAAAACTATCCCTACAGATGAAATATAAGTCAATAATGGATCTTTTTTAACTTTAAAAGTTGTCCCACTTTAAAAAATTTTATCCGCTACGAAGGATAAAATCAATGTAGATATAATATCCTCAGGATAAAAGTGAGTAGTAAAATAATTTCCCATGGGATAATATTACCAAGAAATTTATTATTTCTAGGGATAATATTTCTACAAAATTATATCCATTTGGGATAATATTTCAGTAAAATTATATCCGATGGGATACAATATCAAGTAAATACTATCCTACTGCATCTTGATCAATGAAGTGTTTTAACAAATGGCACATTGCTTTAAAGGAACAAGTAAAATGATAATAGATAATCATTTATGTCAAGATGGATGGAGAGGAGTATAACGTTTTGTACAAATATCTGCTGAATAAAGAATACTCCGAAAACAGCTCTTTAAATGAGAAACGAGCAATACGAAAACGTGCCCAAAGCTTCATAATTAAAGAAAATAAGCTGTACTACAGAATTAATGAAGGTAAGTTTTATATTTATATTTGTATAATCATCAATAATTAACAGTGTTTGTTTTGAAATATGTTTTGAATTAAATAAAAGAGATTTTAAACCCAAAAACAATCAAATATCGATCATGGATCAGAAGATGTAGATAAAATAGAACTATCCCATAAATAATATCCACAGGTTATAATACATGTAGTATACAGAGATAAAATGTCAGTGATATTTTATCCTAACTGGAATAAATCTTATCATAAATAGTATTCACTAATTAAAGGACAATTTTCTTTGGGGATAACATGTATGTTCAGAACAAAAAGGTGCGTTTGATTTTGTTTCCAGTTATTAGATTACAGTTGTCTCTCTTTTAATACTTATCCTATGTTGATTTTTATTAAAAAAATTATATAAATTTATATTTATACAAAAGTTAAAATAATCCATCATATTATTTTCAGGCAAATGTGTAGCAGCAGATGATCAAAATTTGAGATTGGTAATCCCATCAGACGAAAAATTTCGAATTATATCAGAATGTCACATAAATAGTGGGTCCCACCTTTGAGTCGACAAAACTGTGGTGAAAATACAAGAACGTTATTACTGGAAAGGTATAATAAAAGATGTGAAAAGCTTCATAAAAACTTGTGAACAGTGTCAAACAAGTAATAAAAAACAGAAAACAACAAAACCAGAAATGACACCAATACCCGTTCCTCCCTCAACATGGAAAAAAATTGCCATTGACTTAATCGGCCCATATAATGACAAAACTGAAAAACCTCTTTCCGATGCAGGATACAAATATGTATTAACCGTCATAGACTTTTTTTCAAATTATACAGAAGCATTTCCTCTCTATACCAAAAACGCAAGTGAAATAGCTGAAAACTTGAATACTTTATTTTGTCGCCATGGAGTACCACTGGAAATGATTAGCGATAATGGTGGTGAATTTAATTCCAAGTTATCTGGTGTGATATATGACATGTATGGATACAAACATATTAATATAACCCCTTATAATCCACAGGCAAATGGCAAATGTGAAAGGTATAATCAGACACTTAAAAACATGTTGAACAAAACCGTAAAAGAGGAAACTAATCTTTGGGAACGTTTTCTGCCAAAATGTTTGTTTTCTTACAACACTTCTAAACATTCATCTACTAATTTCTCACATTTCTATTTAATGTATTGGCGAAATCCGATATTACCAAATGAACAATCTATAGGTAATACTGTTAACACTTTTCAGTCATATGAAGAATTAAACCAAGGTCAAATTGAAGATTGTGCTATAAAATTACATGAAATTCAGAAGTTGATTTCGGAGAAAGTCATGGAAAATATCGATCAAGCACAAAAAAGACAGAAGTTGCATTTTGACAATAGACATAATATTCATGAAAATGAGTTTAAAGAAAATGATAATGTACTGGTGAAAAATAAGAAGAGAAAGAAAAGAATGGAAAAGCAAAATTGGTTGGGGCCATACAAAATTGATAAAGTTGTAAAAAAGGCCACATACAGGATTAAATGTGTATCAAGTGATGATGTTATAGGCACATTCAAACAGATGAACATTAAGAAATATTATTCTCCCAATGACAATACTCAGACAGTATCAGCTGAAATACATTTTGAACCCAATAAAACACAACCTGTTGTTGATCATCATGATTTAGATAAAAGTTATGAATCAAACAATAATGAAAACCAAGATCAGAATTCGGATATGAACAATAATAACTGTGATGTTCTCGGTGGATCCTTGTTCCTAACACAGTCCACTTTTAAAGAAATTGATACAGAGGATGAAATTGAAATCATTGAACAGTATATTCAAGAGCAAAATGATCAAGAAGATGAAACCCAAAATAAGCGTCCGAAAAGAAAGTGTAGAGATAAGAAACGTCAATCTAGTATTTTTGAATATTTTGCACATTAACAGATGAAATAGAAAAATGCATTGAAAATATGTTGTTTGTAACATAAATTTGTGAATGTAATATAACTGACTCTATTTTAAAAGAGTAAAATCCATTTTATTCCTATTTATAAGCTTTTTCAATGTTTACCATAAATGAATGCAGATTTCATAAAGAAACACACAATTTTTACAATCTTCCATGCTTTTATTCTTATAATTGATAAAACTTACATTTAGTGTTTGGGGAATTTCCCAAAATATATGAAAGTTGCAAATATTTGTGGTAAAAATGTATGTGACAACATTTTATTCGGGAATTTCCCCGAAATCACTTTCAACATTAATTAAAACTTTTGGTAGCATAGCTATGTGACAAACAGATCTTAAACACATTTCGGGAAAAATCCCGAAAAAATAATGTAAATGTAAAATGTATAAAGCATATATGTCTTCAAACATTTCGGGAATTATCCCGAATACCCAACATATGTATATGCTGAAACTCATGACTTATAATTTATTTTCACATTTCCGGAAAAATCCCGAAAATATAAATCTATTATCAGGCACACACTTGTTGCATAGATTTTTTTACCCATTACGGGAAAAATCCCGAAATAAAATCTACAAGCAAAAATTATGCTACAGATTTCTTAAACATATTGGGAAAAATCCAGAAAAAGAAAATCTTTAAGATTTTACAACACAGAATTTTGATACATTCGAAAAGTTTTTATGTAAGTTTGTTTCCAACATTTGTTGAAATTTGATGATTAATAAAAGAAAATGTGTCAAATTGAAAAAAATATGAGACAAAGTGCATATTACAAATTAAACATAAATATAATATTCCATTAAATAAACTGTTAACACAGATATAAATCTGATCTTTATGTATTTTATGTTGTAAAATTCAAATGTGGAAATAAAATGGCATTACTTAAACTTATAAACTATGCAAAATAATTAAAATAAATGTACTAGGATTGAAAGAGCAAGGTTTTAAAAATTATTTCTTAATTAAAAAGACAAAGATTGATAGATATGGTATAAAATAATTCATATATGCAATTACTACGCACTAGTTAACTAATAAACTCACATATAGAACTACAATCACAACAATGTTTTATAAATAGCGGTTGCATTAATGGAGATAAAAGGTACCAACAAGATTTGCAGGATGTATGCCTATACAAATAAGATGATAATGCATTATCACATTTATACCAAAAAACACAACAGTTTGAAAGATATCAGGAAGTCTGCAGTCCTTTAAACTACAAAATGAACTTTGTTTGGCATTCTTTTCCTCTTGTTTATCTTCATATCTGTGTCTTTTAAGACTCTCGTCAATTTGTCCTTCAAGATTTCTATGTATCCTACAAAGAAAAGTCACTTCAAGTTCAATATTTTAAAGTCCTTCAGGCATACTATTCATGATTGTTTTTGTCGGCATATTTTGTTCTTTCTTATAATAGATGATTTTGCTATCACAGGACCTTTCATAGCTTACTGTATGTCATATGTTTTGTTCAATATTTGAAGCCATATCACACTGATGATGTTTAAATATTGTTCTTATTAAGGCAGTTGTCTCCTTAGCAATCATACTGCATCTTTTTTTTCTAATCTGGTGTCATTTTTTGATATATATGTTACTTTACCGATTATTACCTGCAAACAAATGGGGCAAACTGGAAAAGTTTTAAAAAATAAAAAAGCTTTTTTTACTTTTAGAGTTAGCATTAGGATTAGCAATCATACAACAGATATCTTCTTCTCTAAAAGAGAGGCAAAGTTCTAATCCTATTAATTTAATTATGTTATTTTACCAATAATTGTCTTAAAACAAACAAGGCAAATTTAAATGGTTTTAAGAAAAATTTGTGAGGGGTTCCTTAGAACCCAGTGTCTCGCATGTGATTGCAGCTGTCAATATAAAGTTGACTTTAACAGTGAGCACAGATTGTACTTGAAAAGACTCAACATTATCTAGACTGTACTTAACTGTACTTGACTTTGGTCTACAATTTAACCTAATGAGTCTAATACAGTACTTGATAATCTAGGTAAGGTCTTGCCAAATGCTCAACCAGTCTCTACTTAGTCTTGACCAATCTCAACTCAGTCTCGACCAGTCTTGACCCAGTCTCCACCCATCTTGACCTTTAAAGGAGTAAGTTTGGTATGGGTCATATTTGGCCCCGATTATTAAGTCAAAGTTTTAGTTTTAAAGTGTTGATTTTTACATCCCAAATAGGTCAAAAATAGAGATTTTTGCGAAATTTGACCAAATCGTCCAGATTTCAAACAAATTAAGGCCTAGAAAACATAGAGTGCAGGCGTCGACAAACTAAATACTTAAGTCAGATATGTTAAATGTGATAACAAACATTTTGTTAAAAAAAGCTTTTTTGTCAACGCATGCGCTCTATGTTTCCTGTCCAAAAAATCATTGTAAGTTTACCCGTTTTCATTGAATTTTTGTTGAAAATCAAAGTGAGTGCTATCTAGGACGTCATGAATAGAACGCAAGTACGTAAATTTTCAACAAAAAGACATATTTTCTATCTAGTCATTGTATTAGCTATGATTCATTGTGATATTGGTCAATAAATACTAATTTGAAATTGTAGTTAGAAATAGGGGCCGTTTTAGGGTGTTATCGAACCTACTCCTTTAGTCTTGACTGGTCATAAATCAGCCCATCTATATCAATTATGTATTGATAGGGTTATTTTATAGTTTGGTTTATTGCTGTCAAACTTAAGGATTTAATTAATAGGTATAAAAGCTGCAATTTTCAGTTTGAACCAAATTCCGACAGTCACCTTTAAAAATTTCTATAACTATTTCAAATCAGTCTGGATTTTGAAAAAAATCTAAAGCTCACGATCATCATTTTAGCTTTTTAAAGTTTCTATTTTTCTATCATAAAATTAAAGAAAGAAAACATCACTGACAGGCAATAACTCAACTGAAGATTTTGGCCATGTCACTTATTTGTAGATCTTATGGTGTTGATCATTTTTGTCGAGCCTTCCACTTTAGTCGAAAAAGCAAGATGTAGCGATCCTACATTCCAGCGGCGGCGGCTTCCACAAATATTCACTCAGTGGTTAAAGTTTTTGAAATTTTAATAACTTTCTTAAACCATAGATATATCTATGCTTAAACTATCTTGGATTTCTACCAAACTTGGACAGAAGCTTGTTTATGATCATAAGATAGTATCCAGAAGTAAATTTTGTAAAAAATAAAATTCCATTTTTTCCGTATTTTACTTATAAATGGACTTAGTTTTTCTGCCGGGAAATATTACATTCACTCTGTGGTTAAAGTTTTTAAAATTTTAATAACTTTCTTAAACTATCCTGGGTTTGTACCAAACTTAGACAGAAGCTTGTTTATGATCATAAGATAGTATCTAGCAGTAAATTTTGTAAAAAAATAAATTCATTTTTTCCTTATTTTACTTTTAAATGGACTTAGATTTTCTGCCAGGAAACAACACATTCACTCTGTGGTTAAAGTTTTTAAAATTTTAATAACTTTCTTATACTATTTTGGACCAAACTTGGACAGAAGCTTGTTTATGATCAAATGCTAGTATCTAGAAGGAAATTTTGTTTTCTTCCAGTTAACATTACATATTACATTCAGTCTGCAGTTAAAGTTTTTAAACATTTATTAGATTCATAAACTATCCTGGATTTTTACCAAACTTGGACAGAAGCTTCTTACAATCAAAAGATAGTATCAAGAGGAATATTTTCATTGATTTACTTCCTCATTTTTGTTGAGCCTGCGATTATCAGATAAAGAAGGCGAGACACTGGGTTCCGTGGAACCCTTAAGAATTTCTACTATTCAAACTGTTTCCCTCTCTTTACTATAGTTTTCAATAGGGCTAACAACAAAAAAGATGTGTTTGGATTTGCTGTCCAACCCTAATTTATCGGCTCTGACAAAAAAATCAAAAATCAAAAATTCTTCCTTAGCATATGTCCCTAATTTGCACTATTTGTGAACATGAATGTTAATAAACAATTGGCCAGCTAATGTGTGCTTGCAGTACACTTGATTATATAAATACAACCATAAATCTAATATATATACATGATATACAAACATTCATGACAGTTTCAAACTTCAAAACATTTGAACAACAGTTCAAAGAACTTTACTATGAAATTAGTAAGAAAATATCCTGACCTACTGACCCTATATTTTTTTTTACATGCAACTGGAAACACACATACATGACATAATATTTTTTTGGCAAAGAAAATATTTCAACAAGAGTGCAATACATTCACAAATGTCATGCCTGCTTTACTTATGATTGAAAATATGACGCTTTTACTACAATTATCACATAAACTTGATCCATAAATTATCCATGAAAATGAAGTCACGGTCAGTTTAACCAGTCAAGCAAATACAGCTGACAATCATTTCATACACCAATATAGTGGCCTTATTGCTACTATTATCTGAGAGATAGACCCAACCACAAAAACTAAACATTGTGCAATGAACCAGGAAATTGAGGTCAAGGTCAGATGATACCTGTCAGTTGCACATGCCTGTATACCTTACAATCACTCCATACACCAAATATATGACCTACTGCTTTAAGGATATGGATAAGGACTTGACCACCTTACTTGTCCGAATGGAATTGTAACTTGTTGCAAAAAAAATCTTAATATTAACCTTTTTTGCATTTAAAGCTGATTCAATGAACAAAATGAGTTAAAACAATGGAACAGAATTTGATTATTATCTCTTGATATCCTTTTCAAAATATGAGTCGAGAACAACTAAATCTAGTATTCATCAAAGCCAAAGTCTCATCCAACTCAGCACATGAGGCACAGTCTGGTAGGCCTGCTAGTCATAATAAACTCATTTGGTTTGAATCCTGGTCTTTTATGTTAAAAATACTGATTATTATGATTGATGCCCTACTACAATCAGCTGTTTTAATATATTAAAATGCTTATTCAAACGCAATCAAATATTGTTTTGTCTACATATGATCAAATATAATTTTCTGAATTTAATAGTCAATAATTTATTCATTTTTATTTTAAAAATATTTTTGATAAATGAAATTTATCATATTTATTATAAAGCAACAGAATAAGGAAAGGAAATGAGGTACTGGGTTGTCTTGGTCCCAAAATATCTCCTACAGTGCCAAACTGTCTATTACACATGGAGCCGATTCCGTTTCCGTGCTGGTGCCAATTTTCAGACTTTTGGACTTTTGTAGTGCAAACTGTCTTGTTACCTTATCTACAAAGCAGTAAGACCGGATTCGGAGATAGTATGCGATAGTATGCGTTTTATCTGTTAAAAAGTATCAGACAAAGAACCAGTATTAAATTATTGGTTGCAAGTAAACATGTCAAATTAATAATTGCTTTTATCTTCTTTTATTGTTTTTTTTGTAATTACTTTTATCGTCAAAGTTGGATTTACTTGTCCCGTCGGACAAGCTTCATATGGCAGTCAGGGGTACTACTTGTACAAGTAATCTTTATTTACTTGAAGAAGTAAATTATATTAACTTATATTAGTTAATTATAATGTTTGAATAATCTCCCCTTAATTTTCTTAAAAATTTACTTGTATAAGTAATTTTTTTTTACAATCCCACAAAAATTCTCAAGTTTTGAGATGTAAAAACATGCCTTTAACAATTTTTCTCAGGTTAGCTCATAATTTTTTATTAGAGTTCAATGTTTCATCTCATTAATTCAACAAAGAAACTGATTGAGCAAAGACCTTAAATATTTGCCAAGGCCTTCAAAAATTGCACCTTCGGGGCTTGTAAATGAGCAGTGTTCTGAAGATAACAGACAAATGAGATTTTCATTGTCCATGAAATTACACTTAAATGATTAGTAAAGACATCTGCAAAGGACAGACAATTCAAAATTCTATTAGAGCAAAGAAGTCCTAAGAATTCAAGAAAAGAAGATAGGATGACTTTTTTACTTGTATAAGTAAAAATATCTGAATGTCTAAGGGACATAACTAAGCCAAAAAAAATTTACCTATACGAGTAAATAAAATACACTTGTATAAGTATCCTACAAATTTACTTATATAAGTATATTAATATTTACTTCTTCAGGTAAATAAAAATTACTTGTACAAGTAGTACCCCTGACTGTATGGCTTTTACTTGTCCGACCTTTTTTTTCCTCTGGTACCGGACAATCGACATGCATTATTGTTGAGCCCTGTAGTGGTTAAAGATGATTTTTGTAAAAAATAATGAATGACTGATGCCAAGTGATGAAAATAGCTTACTTGACCAAACCAGTCAGGTGAGCAAATAATGTGGGACAATCGTGAAGATGATTCATGGACAATTCAGAAGTTTAATGTTGAGCAATCAGGAGTTGTTTTGATAGTATTTTATTTGTGAAACAGCACATTTTGTTAGACATAACATATTTTTGCACACTTACAAACTTTCAAACTTACCTTTCACATCTTCCCATATTTGACTAAGAAAGTCCTTGAACTTCACAGAGAATTGAATCAGAGACCTTTTTCTTCATATTTGTCTAAGTTAACTGCATGTCCTATGGATATATGTCAATCTGAAATAAGAAAAGAATGGCCTAAACCTCATGCTGAAAATGATTATCATCCATAGCTTTTTTTTACATATGAACTGCTTGAAAGCACAATTTAAAATGGTGATTTGCACCTAAATGGGGTGACATAGAATCAACTTCTATGAAATTTTGTCTATGAAATTAGGCCAGAGGTATGATTCTCACCTAAATAGGTGGATATTGGATCAATTTCTATGAAATTATGTCCAGAAAAGGAACGAAGTTGAAAATAGATATAATATATCATTCATTACAAATTATCATTCTCAAGCAGAAAACTTCAAAAAGTATTCAGGAAATACTTGCATCTTATTAAAACAAATTCTACAATAGGTGCCAAATTCCATAAAACCTATCAATAGGATTCAAAAGAAATAGAAACATTGGTGAATATTAGTGAAACAAAGCTATTAAATAATTTATATAAACCTCACAGTTCCTACTAACATTTAACTGTGCAGAACTAATTAATGACCATCATGTAAACAACACATGTAAACTGATATTCTTAAGACCACACTTCCTTACTATGAAACACTTAATTCAACATTGGTTAAAATTGTTTGAAAAACAAAAAAATAAAATGCAAATTCTAATTAACAAATTAAAAAAAAACAATTCAAAAACTATTTAAAAAATTAAAAATTAAAACTGTAATAAATTAAAAAAAAAATAAATGAATAGAAATAAAAGTAAAACAGTAATTAAACAAGAAATGATTGTAACAGGATGCTGTTACGAAGTCTCCCAAACGAAGCTCCCATTATTCTTAATTCCCAGGGTCGCCTGACATTTGGCAACGTCCAGTGAAAATTGGTTTGGTCCAGTAAAGTTATATGCATTAGTGATGCCTGGGGACTAACCTTGTATATCATTCAAATCATCTTGGCATGACAAACCAGAATATATATGGTTTAGGGGTGGGGATCTCGACCATTTACAAGATATTAGAACTTTCTCAAATGGCAGGGGGTCGGGATGACCCCTGGGGACTAACCCTGTATATCATTCAAACCATCTTAGCATGACAAACCAGAATATATATGGTTAAGGGGTGGGGATCTTGACCACTTAAAAGATATTAGAACTTTCTTAAATGGCAGGGGGTGGGGGTGACCCCTGGGGACTTACCCTGTATTTCATTTGATGTGCTTTATCATGACAAACCAGAATATATATGGTTTAGGGTGGGGATCTCGACCATTTACAAGATATAAGAACTTTCTCAAATGGCAGGGGGTCGGGATGACCCCTGGGGACTAACCCTGTATATCATTCAAACCATCTTAGCATGACAAACCAGAATATATGGTTTAGGGGTGGGGATCTTGACCACTTACAAGATATTAGAACTTTCTCAAATGGCAGGGGGTTGGGATGACCCCTGGGTACTAACCCTGTATATCATTCAAACCATCTTGGCATGACAAACCAGAAATTTACTTAAATGGCAGGGGGTGGGGGTGACCCCTGGGGACTAACCCTGTATTTCATTTGATGTGCTTTATCATGACAAACCAGAATATATATGGTTTAGGGGTGGGGATCTCGACCATTTACAAGATATTAGAACTTTCTCAAATGGCAGGGGGTTGGGATGACCCCTGGGGACTAACCCTGTATATCATTCAAACCATCTTAGCATGACAAACCAGAATATATATGGTTTAGGGGTGGGGATCTTGACCACTTAGAAGATATTAGAACTTTCTTAAATGGCAGGGGGTGGGGGTGACCCCTGGGGACTAACCCTGTATTACATTTGATGTGCTTTATCATGACAAACCAGAATATAAATGGTTTAGGGGTGGGGATCTTGACCACTAACAAGGTATTAGAACTTTCTTAAATGGCAGGGGGTGGTGGTGACCCCTAGGGACTAACCCTGTATTTCATTTAATGGGCTTTATCATTTAGAACATTTTCAATTAAAAAGATTGTGTCTATCACAAACGGTTTTCAATTTATAATCATTTGAAAATTTTAAAAAATACAATCCCATAGGGTTCTATAGTAAAACCCTCTTTTCTTTTTGCCCCTCAAAGTACCCCTTTATAAACCCCATTGCACAAACAAAACCCTGATTGCACCACTAGACATGTTAGTCTAACATATTGTGAAACCCTAAGTTAATCTGACAAGCGGTTTTGGAGAACGGGTGCGGACAAGTTCAAATTTAAAAGCGGCGGAAGAAGAAGAAGAAGAAGAATAATAATAATAATAACTGAGCAAAAACAATAAGTCTTCCCAAACTTCGTTTGGGAGACTTAAAAAGAAATAAATGAAAAAATGGGGAATGTGTCCATGGGGCACAGATGATGCCCCAAATTGCATATATATCATTTAAAGTTATAAAGGGACATAACTGAAGAACGGTAAAAGTGACACTACCCAAATTTGTTAATGATCTGAGCTTTGTAGTAATAAGTATTGTGTATAAGTTTCATAACATTTGGTTGAGGCAAAATTTGTAAAGGGACATAACTCTAGAACGGTTAAAGTGACGCCACCAAAATTCAAACTTGATCTGTTTAGTGGTAATAAGCATTGTGTATAAGTTTCATAACATTTGGTTGAGGCAAACTAAAGTTAGAGAATGGAAACCAACTTTGGGACGTACAGAGGGACAAGGGTAAAACTTAATGCCCCCTCAGCTACGGCGGGGGCATAAAAACAAAAAAACAAAAGGGATGCATATATGGTCTCTGATGAAGGTTTTCCGAAATAAACCAAAACATTGCATCAATGTACATGATGTAAGGCCAGAGATATGATTCCCACCTAAATGGGTGGATATTGGATCAATTTCTATGAAAATAAGTTTCAACTAGAAATGCCAAAAAAACTGAATTATGGCAAAATTTGTTTTGAAACAAGAGGCTTTGTATCACTCACCTGGTGAACAAAACACCAGTTTACTAGGACTTTTAAATGCACATACTTTACAGCTGTATATATATAGGTACTGTTTGTGTTGCTGATCACTTTTGCATTTAACAGGTTTAACCTTTAACCTATATGTATTAGTTAATAGATATCAAGCCAAACTGTAAAAAAACAGTAAATATCAACGTTTCAGGGGCAATAACTCCAAAATCAGAAATCAATGTTAAAAATATCATTAAAGAACATACATGACATAGATCTTGTCATGCTGATCATTTTTGCAGACAACTCTTTTAACAGGTCTATCTCCTACAGTTTTCAAATGACAGCAAACAAGAATGTGTCCATAGTATATGGTTGCACCACTTGCACTATCATTTTCTATGTTCAGCGGACCGTGAAATTGGGGTCAAAACTCTAATTTGGCATTAAAATTAGAACGATCATATCATAGGTAACATGTGTACTAAGTTTCAAGTTGATTGGACTTCAACTTCATCAAAAACTACTTTGACCAAAAACTTTAACCTGAAGTGGGACAGACAGACATACAGACGGACGAAGGAACGGACACACAGACTGAAAAGCATAATGCCCATAAATGGGGCATAAAAACTCCTAAAAGTTAGAAAAATAGGTATTTCAGGGGCAATATATAAAAATAAAGTAATCTTTTTATTCCTTGGTGGATAAATTTGTACATCTTGTCAAGCTGATCATTTTTTATCTAATTTACACTTGTATCTTAGCTAGCTCCAATAATTTTTAAATTAAGTGGTCATGTTGACTTATTTAAAAATATATGTCTTATATACATTTGTGCAGTTAAAAGTTGTCTGTACCTATCATAGTTTCTGCAAAAAATAAAAAAAATTTGGGTAAAATATTCATTCAAGGGAAATAACTGTTTTAAACATGTTAAAGGATCAATTAATGAATTAAATAATGTAAGTCCTATAATTCCTATTCCCAGATCTTACTTTGCTGAACATATAAATTTATCACTTAAACATGTTAAAGTTTCTCTCTTTCTATCATTGTTTCTGCAAAAAACATAATTTTAGGTCAAAATAATTTTTCAAGGGCAAAAACTGCTATAAACAGGATAAAGGATCAATTGACTATTTTGGTCATGTAAGCTTATTCACAGATCTTACTTAGCTGAACATGTTTACCACTTAAAGTGTCTCTCCATCTATCATATTTTTCACAAGAAACTCTAAATTCTATTAAAATTTTGTCTTTCAAGGGCAATAACTCATATAAGGATCCATACTACTGTTTTGCTGTTTAAAATTTATCTTTATCTGAAATTGTTTTCAATATGACAATCAGTGTTACCAAGAACATAAAAATTGTGGAAACTTATTATTTCAGGGGCAATTACTTCAAATAGGGTTGTCAGATTGGTCTGAAAATTTTAGGGCAGATTAATCTTAAAATGCTAATTGTTTTGACCAAACTATGCAGAGTTTCTTAATTAAAGAACCTTAGTGAGCGCGCTCACATACCCCACGTCCCCACATTGTCACTGGAGAAATAAAATAACTGTAAGAAAAAAAAATTGAATCATAATTTCCTGTCGATATGCACATCTACCTAGTATGTCCTTATTATCTACAAAGTTTCATGAAATTCTGTTGTGTGGTTTCAGAGGAGTTGCGATGACAAACTGTTGCAGAGGTATATTGAAGCAAATAAGTTCAAAGGGGCGTAATTCCTAGAAAAAAAATTGAATCATAATTTCCTGTCGATATGCACATCTACCTAGTATGTCCTTATTATCTACAAAGTTTCATGAAATTCTGTTGTGTGGTTTCAGAGGAGTTGCGATGACAAACTGTTGCAGAGGTATATTGAAGCAAATAAGTTCAAAGAGGCGTAACTCCTAGAAAAAAAATTGAATCATAATTTCCTGTTGATTTGCACATTTACCTAGTATGTCCTTATTATCTACAAAGTTTCATGAAATTCTGTTGTGTGGTTTCAGAGGAGTTGCGATGACAAACTGTTGCAGAGTTATATTGAAGCAAATAAGTTCAAAGGGGAGTAACTCCTAGAAAAAAAATTGAATCATAATTTCCAGTCGATATGCACATCTACGTAGTATGTCCTTATTATCTGAAAAGGTTTCATGAAATTCTGTTGTGTGGTTTGAAAGGAGTTGCGATGACAAAAGGTTGCAGTAGTATATTGGGCAAATAAGTTCAAAGGGGCATAACTCCTGGAAAAAAAATTGAATTGTAATTTCCTGTCGATATGCACATCTACATAGTATGTCCTTATTATCTAAGAAGTTTCATGAAATTTTGTTGTGTGGTTTCAGAGGAGTTGAGATGACAAACTGTTGCAGTAGTACATTAAAGTAAATAAGTTCAAAGGGGCGTAACTCCTAGAAAAAAAATTGAATCGTAATTTCCTGTCGATATGCACAACTACATAGTATGTCCTTATTATCTAAAAAGGTTTCGTGAAATTCTGTTGTGTGGTTTGAGAGGAGTTGCGATGACAAGAAACAGGACTGACGGACGGACAGACGGACGGACGGATGGGTCAAAAACATTATACCCTCTGCAACTCGTTGCGTGGGGTATAATTAAAGGACAAGATTAAAATTACAAAATATATGTACTCTATTCCCCCAAGGATCATTTAGCCTAAGTTTGGTTAAAATTAATTCAGTAGTTTCAGAGGAGAAGATCTTTGAAAAAGTGTACAACTGACAATGAATGATTTGACAATTAACAAAAAGGGTTGGCTAAAGCTCACATAGACTCTTAAGGTCAGGTGAGCTAAATAGTAAATAAAACTTTTGACAAACAGAAAAAAATCATAAGTTGGCTATTATATTTATATGGAAAATAAGCGCTCTGTTAATTACTTTATAGAACAGCCCGGATTTTTCCTGATATTCAGCATTGAAACCATGTAATTGATTGTTTATACAAGCAATTAAATGATTAGGTTAAGTGCTTCTCTCACAGTTGGTGTCCACTGATGTTATCAAATAAACACAGATGGTTAGCTGGTCAAGATTATTTAATTTCAATATCACCTACACTAAATACATTATATATTCTTATCTACAAAATATTCTCTTAGACAAGGTGCTTTTATTTTTTTCTTCTCATTTTTGCAATGTTTTCATAAACAATTCAATTAAAAAATATATAAATTTAATGTTTCTTTGAATATTGATGAAAATAGGATTTCTGCAGCTACTTTGGAAATGCTATGATAAAAATTTTAGATTTGCTCATTTAGCAAATTATATATGTTTTAATAAAACGTGTCAATGTAATTATAATAAAATCAATGGGGTCCAGGACCAATCTAATGTATCTTATTATAACCCTTTGTATTTAATTCCATTTTTTTATGTGCATATATTTAGAGCTGGCATTTTCGGTGTAGGATCAATATTTATTGTTATGGAATACATTTTTCAGTATTTACCTTAATTTTTTTTTTAGAATTTCCGACTTGCATGCTTGTAGTATAATTATTGTGTGTGTATTTTTAGAATAGAAATCCAAATCGGGTCTG